AGACTTGTGTATAACTACTACAGAAAGTTGCTGTTTCGATTTTGAATTCAATGTGTAACGTAGCGAAGTGTCCCTTTCAATGGGGAACAGAGACTTGTGTATAACTACTACAGAAAGTTGCTGTTTCGATTTTGAATTCAATGTGTAACGTAGCGAAGTGTCCCTTTCAATGGGGAACAGAGACTTGTGTATAACTACTACAGAAAGTTGCTGTTTCGATTTTGAATTCAATGTGTAACGTAGCGAAGTGTCCCTTTCAATGGGGAACAGAGACTTGTGTATAACTACTACAGAAAGTCGCTGTTTCGATTTTGAATTCAATGTGTAACGTAGCGAATAAGGTACCCCCCCCCCCCAATCGTCGGTCCCCCCTCAAAACTCAAATATATTCCTCCGCCTGTGTATAGAAAGCACACAATCGAGGTTTGGATCCTCGGCCAGTCTACACTGTTGGTGAAATTATGTAATTCTTGACACGTCTTCGTGTGTCTTAAAACGTTTCATGTTGTCATAATCGAAACGTTTCATGTTCTTGAAAGCCAAAAAACAACATTTTCACGTTGAGAAAAATTGTAATTGTGTCGTTGATTATAAAACAAGCATAATAGAATAGTTTACATACACTGAACTAAAATTAAAGCGTTAAGAAAGAGAAAATAGAATATGCCGAATCACGGTAGTAAGTCTCAACTGTTTTAATATCGCCCGCACATTACATGATCATGTTGAGTAATCTTATGTTTCTTGTCTGTTGGAACACCCAATGTAAAGAATTAACGAATTAATTGGGTGAAATTACACATTCTGTTTGTGAAAATACATAGGAGATCCAAGCAGTCATTAGTGTGATTAATTGCCAAATATTTATAGTATATATTTTTTTGTAACTCATGTGTTGTTAAGAGCACGTTGTAGCCAGGGCAATTTGGCCCATAAATAATTTATGAAAATATCTTGAGAAAAAGACTCCGTCGATAATTTTGGAGTTAAGAAATCATTCCCCAATTTTCTGAATTTTGTATTACAGAGAATTCAGTAGGCTCTCACATTTTAATGCTAATATATGGATATATATTATATTTGCAATTTCACTTTATATGTGTATTGATACTTGAATCGGAAGATCTCTACAGAAAAAAATATCTTAATTTAGAAGTCAGGGAGTATATTCAAGTCGTTAGCTATGCGGACCCGGAAGAGTCGCGACATCTAGTGGATACATATAGAAGTAGTTTTCGAGAAGATCCAGTGATAGAAGCATTTGAGCGTGCTATGCGTTATGATGCTAAAAAGCCTGGTCAACATTATGCTGTACATGAGCCCGAACCTCCAGTAATTGGCTACAAAAATGTAAGAAAATATTTTATTGATATGATCATAAATATTAAAAATCAAGTTTGTCAACCGTAAAAAAAAAAATTATGCAAGCTATAGTTGTTTATAGTTTCATGTACTAATTAAAATAAATATTGAAGTATCTTAATATAGGTTTTTACACTCTTTTAAGTACAATATTGTCTGTAAAGTAAACAGATGCTTATAAGTTTATCACTTGGTTAAGCTGTGTACAGTTTGATTTGAATTTCGCGCAAAGCTACACGAGGGCTATCTGCGCTAGCCGTCCCTAATTTAGCAGTGTAAGACTAGAGGGAAGGTAGCTAGTTATCACCACCCACCGCCACCTCTTGGGCTACTCTTTTACCAACGAATAGTTGGATTGACCGTCACATTATAACGACCCCACGGCTGAAAGGTCGAGCATGTTTGGTTGGACGAGGGATTCGAACCCGCGACCCTCAGATTGCGATTCGAGCGCCCTAACCATCTGGCCATGCCAGGCCAAGCTGTGTACAGAAATGTGGAAACTTAATAACTTATTAACAGAAAAAACGTGAAACATTTATGAAAATTAAAACAACAATAACTTTCCGTTTCTTAAAAAACAAGAACAACAACAACAACAACAGTTTCTTATGAAGTTAAGGAAGTTATATTTTTACGTTTATTTATTTTTTCTTCGTTTCTATTCTAATATTTATGTTAAGTTATGCGCGATCTAAATTTTGCGATGTTCAAGGTATTGTCCGCCATGTTTACAATATGTACATTTTTACAACTCGAAGACAATTTTTAAATTCAGCCCTCAGCTGTAGCTAGGCACGTTTAATGAATTTTCGAAGTTATAATTCGACATCGGGAAACTATATGTTTTTTTTACTGCTACATTCAATAACGTTTCCGTTTGAGTCACGCCTATTAGCTTCTACAGTTTCGAGAACAGTTCTCTCAATTACAGTTCTAAGTACTACGCGATGTTTTGAAGATGCCAGCGTTTTTTTTTTTCTGTCTAAGTTATATGAAGATGTCTTACACATATAGTTACTGGAATGCTCTTTTAAATTTATTAGTTCTAACTGTCGTCTCGACGTTAATGAAGCATTTGTCGTTCTAGATCTAATATTCGCATTGACATAAATAAATGTTTTTAATACATTATGCGTCTTTTCGAGATACACCTTCCTTTGATCAGATAAACTTCTTTTTCATTTTTTTTTTCTCTGTAACGTCAAAGCAGCTTAGCTCATAACTTTTCTGTTGCTAGCGTTTAATGATGACTGCCATTCGTCAGAGACTAGCTGTTTAATTAGGTAAATTACCCCTATTCATAAGTTATTTGGCTTGAAAAGTAGGAGATGTATGGTAGTAAAGTTAATTTTTTTTTTTTGAAAATATAAACGATAATGTTGAGTGCATTTTTTCGATTTCTAAGTGCCATCTAGTGGTAGTTGTATAGCACGAAAAATAGCTGGAAATTCTTACTTTTAAACGGCAACCCTTCTAAACAAATTCGGTGAACATTTACAGAAGTAATGTAGTAGGTATAATAACATAAGTCATATTTATAAACATCGCCTTAAAAATTTTGTAAAACCTCAAAAAATTGAAGAATTAGCCAGCAATTCCACAATTGGTGTAACTTGACCAAAAAAAAGACGAATTGTAAAGAATTATTTAGAATTAGGGCTCTCGACTCGCAATCTGAGGGTCGCGGGTTCGAATCCACGTCCCACCAAATGTGCTCGCCCTTTCAGCTGTAGGGGCGTTATAATGTGACGGTCAATCCAACTATTCGTTGGTAAAAGAGTAGCCCAAGAGTTGGCGTTGGGTGGTGATGACTAGCTGCCTTCCCTCTAGCCTTTCACTGCTAAATTCGTGACGGCTAGCACAGATAGCCCTCGTGTAGCTTTGCGCGAAATTCAAAACAAACCAAACCAAACAAACCTATTTAGAATTAGCCAGCATCAGTGAGTATCACAACTGGTTTAATATGCCTCAAAAAGGGAAATACAAGAAATTCGGACAAGTAAGTAAATAAAAAATAAACGCCTACGTGTAGTTTTAACCTATAAAGTTTAAGAAATAAAAGCATTAACTTTTTTTTATTACTTTAAGTATACGTTTAAACAATACATTATTGAACAAAACTTGTATTATTTGCTCTCCTCAGAAGAATTTATAATTATCAGTAGTATATTGCAGCAGAAACACGCCCTCTATTGATAGTGAAGTTGAAATACTTTCAGCTAAAACGAAAGTCCATCCCTCGTTATGCACATTTTTTTTTAAAAGAGTACGATTCATCCCTGATTTTGAAACTCCGCGTGAATTAATTTTCTTCAGTTACCAGTATAAACTTCTTTCTCAGTGACTTGTTCTTTCCTTACATTTCTTTTTGATTCTTACTGTTTAATTTAAATTACGTGTTGTAAATTAATGTTTCTTTGCTAATACATGATGAGTATGAAGTTCTTAGGGTTGGCAAGATATCCCAGTTTTTCATAAATACTTTAGTCATTAAACGCCACCAGTGCTAAACAGATATGGTACATCTTAAAAACACCTTTTTTCGCTTTTATATTTTAATTGCGATAAAAACAATAATATAACTTGTTTACGCATATTTTATTTCCAAAGAACATGTGGGAGCCAATTGACATGAATACCCAGCGCTTCAACGGACAAATTAGTTATCCCTCAATAGATGTCGCTACGAGCGAACGACAGGCTTTTCCTCCATTTGCAGAAGGTGAGTATACTAACCTAGGAAAATTTTTAATGTGTTTTCCTTATTATTTATCCAATAGATCCCACCATTAGAAACAATGTGCCTAAAAACAGTAAAATACTAAGACATTTTGTATTATTTTCTTAAAATGTATTTAGTAATGATAGCGAAAACTGTTACTTAAAAATGTAATATCCCACCATTTTAAGAACTCACAGAATGAAAGAGAAAATTCACGTTTTTTGGTTGTTTACTGTTGTTAATAACTAGTTAGAACATTGAGTTTAGAATTTTATATTAAGTATCAGGAAGAAAAAGCTGATAATTACTTTTTGCTCGATTTTTTTATAAAACGCATTAGGAAGGAGAACAACATCAGTTTTAACTTTATTACTTTGTTAACGCTTTCCGTCTATCGTCATTAGATTATTAAAAAATCTAAGCACTGGGGAACAACATCAGTTTTAACTTTATTACTTTGTTAAAGTTTTCCGTCTATCCTCATTATATTATTAAGAAATCTAAGCATTTTTAGTGAGTTTTTTTATATTAAAACCTTTTAGTTACTTTTATAACACGGAAAAAAAATAATGCAGGAACAATGCAGGAATTTCAATTTGTCGTATATTTACACATTAGTGGTGTATCGTTTTAAACAGAAAGGACTTGGAGGAGTATATGATGTATATACATGACTGATTTGTATATATATTTTATTGCGGCGTTTTACAGTTCTTCTGTTTCTATCCTCAATAAATGTTCTTCGGCTTGAAATGTTCCGTTCTTTTGCGGTTCCTTAGTTCTTATTGTAAAATAGAAATGCTCAGTGGTATACATATTGGTATGAGAGTTGTCCCAGGGTTCTGTCTGACCCAACTCATGGACAAAATTAATATATTTATTCTGCAGGCAGAGGCACTTGTCTGATGACGCTCAGACCCAACTCTTACAGGCCTACGTGTAACATACACAAAACTAACATTGTTGGAAACCAAGGACCCTTCTAACAGACACAACTGTAACTCCTGAAAGGCCTATTTATAACATACACAAAACTAACATTGTTGGGAACCAAGGACTCTTCTAACAGACACAGTTAGTTACTCCTAGAAAGGCCTATTTTGTAACATACACAAAACTAACATTGTTGGGAACCAAGGACCCTTCTAACAGACACAACTGTAACTCCTGAAAGGCCTATTTATAACATACACAAAACTAACATTGTTGGGAACCAAGGACTCTTCTAACAGACACAGTTGTTACTCCTGAAAGGCCTATTTATAACATACACAAAACTAACATTGTTGGGAACCAAGGACTCTTCTAACAGACACAACTGTAACTCCTGAAAGGCCTATTTATAACATACACAAAACTAACATGGTTGAGAACCAAGGACTCTTCTAACAGAC